AAAGAATAAACCTATTCTGTATACTTTTTATGGGTTTTATACAATAAGCAAGCAGATATTAACATTTAAATTAACATATCACTAAGGCTAACACTACTAAAATTTCAGTAAGTTAATTGGGAATTAAGCACTACAATGATTAAATCACAGTAGCAACTGAAATTGAATCCATGGATCAACAGGGTAAGAACAATATTGAAGTAAGTCATCAAGTGGTCAAATTATCAAATTACTACAGCAGGTAATAAAATCACGAGGTTAATATCACAAAGAATCACTTTTTATTATCCAGCATCAAGAGACTGAAGGAGGCAGCTGTTTGGCTTTAGTCTAAAAACCCCACAATCAAAAGATCTTGAAATGCATTTAGCTGGTGAAGGACATCGCTGTCCATTTTGGTTTTAGACCTTGACCAAGAGATATCACCTGTAAGAGCACAATCAATTTAGCTATTCATAAGGAAGTACAGAGACCAAAGTGGTGTCTTAAATTACATCTTCCATGTTATTCCATGCTTCCTTCTGAAATCACATGTTGTTATGGCAACTAATGTTCTCCTCTTATTATTTACCAAGTTATTTCAGAACAGAACAGAGGTAGTTTTACTGAGCAATGCTTACAACTTACACTATAGCAGCTCTGGATAACACTCTTTTTTAGCTGAGGAAACGCTTGGAATGATTCGGTGGCAGAATTAGGATTTTCAGTTAGGGAAACATTACTGATGCTGTTCCCAAGGTGGACTTTTTAAACACACACACACACCCTAACAGAACTATGGACAGGTCTTTCTGTAAAATAAAAAGAAAAAAGAAAAAAAGGGGGAAAATAAGATACTTAAAAAGATTTGAATTTCTTCTGCTTTGTGCTCTTGGTGTCACATGTTGCAGGATTGTGGCTACAGTTACTGGTGACGCAGGAGTGTGTCTACAGCCACAGATGATGTAATAGCTTTATTGTAGAGCTTGTCACCAGCATGAGTCTGTGCTGGTTCTTGGGGCACCCACAACTGTGAGTCATCTTGTTACCCTCCTGCCTCCCACATGAAAGACACTTGCTTGGGCTTAACTGGGTGTCAGATCCCTGATACCACCAGCCTGTGAGCCACCCAAGCACCCTCCTCTGGGCTATGCCAGCCCTATTGTTGTCTTGCAGGTTAACAATAGGTGCAGCCCAGTCCCTGAGCTCCTGCAAAGGTTCCCCTGCAGTGTTCAGCACCTTATCCACTGAACAGTCACAGACATAGCAGGTTTGCTGTCCCCAAGAAAACACTGCACACACCAGCTTGTATGATCCAACTCAGGATCAGATCCTTGTGTAATACCACAGCACTGAGATATATTTATAGTGAAATCAAGGATAAGTTTGCTCACGATGCAAGAGAGAGTGAGTAAGGAAAATGGAAGCAAAAGGTTACATGTAAAAACAAAATCATAACACGCTTTCTAGAGACTAAACCTCCTCTCTAAAGAAGTTTGTCTCACCCCAAAAGTCATCTGCAGTATTTCAACCAAGGCTGGTTGAGATCCTGTTTTCATAAATGTAAATGCACTGCCTAGTCACTTCCTAGGTGCAGGATTATGGGGTGTCTTCTCTGTTCCTCAGATATAGTCCTGCAAACCTTCCCCTGCTGTGTGCTTTTCCTTGTTGACTTCATATCATTCTGTTAGATTCATGTGCAAATGTGCCCCCATTTTGTTAGCTTAAAATGTTTAATCTATATGCCAACAGGTGAATGAACATATTTGATCTGACAGGAAACCTGTTTGTCAATTCTGCTTTGTTTCAGACTTTAAAGCGTTTTTTGAGTATACGTACATAACTCCCTGCATAGTACCTGTACATACATTTCACAGTGATTTTACTGACCATTGTAACCCTGGATTTCCTTTGAGACCTCACATGACATTCTTTAGTGAACCAGAATGTAAATACCAGAATCAGGAAATTCTTGTAAACCCCTTGCCTGTTGGCTTTCAGGGGATTCATGGGTGTGATGGAGTGGACTAGGCTCAGAGGCCCCTTTCTGGAGGCCACAGTATCCTGCCACACTCGTCCCAGGAAAGGAGCAGTAGAGAGGTCTTCCAAGCGGGCTAGAGAGGCTGCAGCGAGCAGCCAATCAGGGCCCAGCAGGCCCATATAAAAGGACCTGCAAGGCCAGTGTGAGTTCAGTCTGCTAGCATGGATTGGGAGAGCAAAAGGTGCTCCTGTTTGACTTCAGGGCCCTCAAGAGCCCAAGCAGGTAGTTACTGGCAGGGACTAGGGGAGCATGGAAGGAGCTTCTGGCTGGCTGCTGGGACTCAATGAAGAAGGGCTATGGGGAATTGGCTCGGGGAAATGTAGAGCAACAGTTAGTAAACGAATGCAAAATGAGGCTGCTATACTTAAAGCGTCCCTGGGTTCGAACGCAGAGCAGCCACTCGGGGGAAGTGGCTACATCCTAAGAAAGGGAATTAGATCTGTGGCACTCTGGGGAAGGGGGCTGCACTGGGACTGATTCAGCGGAGAGCTGTGGTCAGCGAATTGAGTCAGAGGGGCGGCTCAGCAGAAGGGCTGGGGTCACTGAGGACTCCAGTAGAGGTTAGGAGTCCCCAGGAAGAAGCCCCCTGGGGTGCTGCTCAGTTCCAGAGTAGGAGCCTTGCAACCTAGCCGGACCAAGCGTGGGTACCATGGTGAGCCCTATAGGACTGGTTAACGTCTGAGCCTGGGGAGGGATGCAAAGAAGGACACACCAACTGTGCATACCACAATGGGCCCTGTTGGACTGTTTTAGAAGACTGAGCCCGGGGGCGCTGGAGGACATTGGAGACATTTTGTACTGTGTACCCTGGAGGGTTTTTTTCAGTTTCTCACATGGACTGAGTGTGACTCAGCTGGAGGGCTGAGTAACCGAAGAGCCGCCTGACAAGCACAGCGGCCGACAGGACACCGGGAGCAGAGGAAATAGCTGCAGGCACATGCACACTCAACCAGGGGGCACTGATGAGAGATGAGTGCACCTAGACCACTCAGACTGGAAGAGCTGAAGGACCAAAGTATTCCTCTGTTCCTCCCTGGGGTGGCCTGCCCATGGGGACTAAGAGGGGCACTTGCTTCAGATGATGCTGATGGCCTGAGAGAGCACTCAGGCTTCCCCTTTGTCTTGACCCTTATAGGGGGCAACTCTCCTACTTACTCCATTTTAGGCCCTTACCTTCATAGCTTTGGGGCCAGTTAGATGGTTCACTCTGGATACAGTCAGTGTGGCCCAATCCTCAGTAACCTGGGCAGGCTTTGGCCTGTGGCCAGTGTGGGAAGTCCCACTCAGGATGACCATAGTGTGTGGAAAGATCATTTTGCAACTACATGCCATCAGCTCCCTCAGAATACAAAACCAGACGTAGTGTAGAGCTCACTTTAGAGGAAGCTGCCTCCAACCTTCTGTCTAGGCCCACTCTTGGCATCAGTGGCCACTATAAGGCCTAAGCAGTTTCTTAAAATTAGCCAACTGCCTGGTCATGATCTTGTCATTCGCCCATACATCCTCTTACATACTGGAAATAGATGTCACTAGCCTGTGACAAGTTGTCACATCTATGCATCAAGCAAAAAAAAAAAAAAAAAATGTAGGGAAATAAATGATGGGCCTCAACTGTGTAAAAGATTGACTTATACCCAATAACTTTTGAGCTAGTAGCAAAAGACTGTTTTTACATCTTAACAATATCCAGTCCATTTAACACAAAACAATTAAAGTTTAAACCACACCAAAATTCTCAGTTGGGCTATTTGTCTCACAGCGTGTTCCACTTGTATGCATTAAAGAGAGGGATCACAACTCTCTCTCTCTTTGAGGGAAAGGTTCACCCAGTGTGTATAACAAAACTTTATATAATAAATCATACTAGGTGAGGCATGTTTTTCAGATTAAGAAATTGATTCACACAACTGGGAACTGCTGACTGGTAATAAAATTACCACAGTTCCTGGGTCAAAATTTTGGAGGTATTTTTGCATTTATTTTCTGAATCTTTGGTCTTTTGCTAAAAGTATCATCCAACTTGATTATATTATAGCAATCTATAAGTAATTGCGTTGTAAATAGCATAAGGCGGGAGTGGCTATTTAAGAAGTCAAAGATGATGTATAGAAAATAAATGATATAGAAATTAGAACTACCTTTTAATAATGATGTGCAGGCTAAAATTAAACAAAGGAGGAACTGAATTTCAACATCAGGCAACCTTTTTCTAATGGTAAGGGGAACAATTAGGAAAATAATTTGGGGTACTGGATGGGTCATTGGATTTGTAAAGGGATTCAGAACTTTTCAACTCTAGGACACCAGTCCAAATCTGATCCAGGTTGGTCAGGCTCAAAAGTTGTTACTGTCTGACAAGCTGTTTGGTGGCCTACAGAAATTAGATGGTGGCTTAAATCCAGTTCTTCCAAGTGAGCAGAAGCCAACATCACAAGACTACTACCATCACGATGAATGGATCGCAGAGGCAGTATTTCTGTCTCATGCCCTGAGCTCACTTCTCAAGACTGGGCTGAGGCACATTGGTGGGGGTAAAGTCTGTAGGCTGAAGTTCATATGACAGACGTGTGGATAAAGAGCGGTCAGTCTGCCACTTTTCACCAGAACTAATATTCACATGAAAAAATATTTTGTTAAAGAAGTCAGCGAATCTCTACAATAAAATCTTTTGTATGAAAGACTCTAATTCAGGCAACTAAACACCTCCTGCCGAGCTCCAGAATTATTAGCTGCTGTCTCCCAATACAGTAGTTTGTCTGAATGCAAACAAATTTCAAGCAGTGGTTGCAAATAGATTTCAATTTTCTATGGCTTTCAAGAAAGCTTTTAAGAAAGCTTTTAAAAGTAAGTGAACTCTGAGGGAAGAGTCCTTCCTTCTGTCTGTGCAGCGTCCTTCCCACTCACTGGAGGTTTTCACCTCGCCAAAGGTGAAAGTCCAACCAGCCTACTAAACTTTGCTCAGCACACTTGTTTGTTTAGATTCTGCAAATGCACCAGCCCAGCACTGTAGGCTGTTTAAAAACAATGTAAATATACCTGCAACTTTTCCAGTGGGCCCCAGGCCCACATTAAAGTGTGGTTCTGCCTCTGAAATTGATTCTGTAATTATGGCACTTTTGGATTCCATGTTTGTCTCTCAGTGACTCCAGATCAGATTTGAGCACTTTTCAAGTAAAAAGATGTCCCGTTCCCTCTTTCCTCTCGAGGTAAGTGGGAAAGCGGGATACCGGGAGGAAGTACAGGCAGTAATGTCTGTGAGGGGAGGGCTCCTGCCTCATACTGAGAATGAGGGGTGATCAGCAGGTTATCTCAAGTGCTTATATACGAATGCACAAAGCCTTGGAAACAAGCAGGGAGAACTGGAGGTCCTGGTGATGTCAAGGAATTATGACATGATTGGAATAACAGAGACTTGGTGGGATAACTCACATGACTGGAGTACTGTCATGGATGGTTATAAACTGTTCAGGAAGGACAGGCAGGGCAGAAAAGGTGGGGGAGTAGCCCTGTATGTAAGGGAGCAGTATGACTGCTCAGAGCTCTGGTACGATACTGCAGAAAAACCTGAGTGTCTCTGGATTAAGTTTAGAAGTGTGAGCAACAGGAGTGATGTAGTGGTGGGAGTCTGCTATAGACCACCGGACCAGGGGGATGAGGTGGATGAGGCTTTCTTCCGGCAGCTCACGGAAGCTACTAGATCGCATGCCCTGGTTCTCATGGGTGACTTTAATTTTCCTGATATCTGCTGGGAGAGCAGTACAGCAGTGCATAGACAATCCAGGAAGTTTTTGGAAAGCGTAGGGGACAATTTCCTGGTGCAAGTTCTAGAGGAGCCAACTAGGGGGGGAGCTTTTCTTGACCTGCTGCTCACAAACCGGGAAGAATTAGTAGGGGAAGCAAAAGTGGATGGGAATCTGGGAGGCAGTGACCATGAGTTGGTTGAGTTCAGGATCCTGACACAGGGAAGAAAGGTAAGCAGCAGGATATGGACCCTGGACTTCAGGAAAGCAGACTTCGACTCCCTCTGGGAACAGATGGGTAGGATCCCCTGGGGGACTAACATGAAGGGGAAAGGAGTCCAGGAGAGCTGGCTGTATTTCAAGGAATCCCTGTTGAGGTTACAGGGACAAACCATCCCGATGTGTCGAAAGAATAGTAAGTATGGCAGGCGACCAGCTTGGCTTAACGGTGAAATCCTAGCAGATCTTAAGCATAAAAAAGAAGCTTACAAGAAGTGGAAGGTTGGACATATGACCAGGGAAGAGTATAAAAATATTGCTCGGGCATGTAGGAATGAAATTAGGAGGGCCAAATCGCACCTGGAGCTGCAGCTAGCAAGAGATGTTAAGAGTAACAAGAAGGGTTTCTTCAGGTATGTTGGCAACAAGAAGAAAGCCAAGGAAAGTGTGGGCCCCTTAATGAATGAGGGAGGCAACCTAGTGACGGAGGATGTGGAAAAAGCTAATGTACTCAATGCTTTTTTTGCCTCTGTCTTCACGAACAAGGTCAGCTCCCAGACTGCTGTGCTGGGCATCACAACATGGGGAATAGATGGCCAGCCCTCTGTGGAGAAAGAGGTGGTTAGGGACTAATTAGAAAAACTGGACGTGCACAAGTCCATGGGGCCGGATGAGTTGCATCCGAGAGTGCTAAAGGAACTGGCGGCTGTGATTGCAGAGCCATTGGCCATTATCTTTGAAAACTCGTGGCGAACGGGGGAAGTCCCGGATGACTGGAAAAAGGCTAATGTAGTGCCAATCTTTAAAAAAGGGAAGAAAGAGGATCCTGGGAACTACAGGCCAGTAAGCCTCACTTCAGTCCCCGGAAAAATCATGGAGCAGGTCCTCAAAGAATCAATCCTGAAGCACTTACATGAGAGGAAAGTGATCAGGAACAGTCAGCATGGATTCACCAAGGGAAGGTCATGCCTGACTAATCTAATCACCTTCTATGATGAGATTACTGGTTCTGTGGATGAAGGGAAAGCAGTGGATGTATTGTTTCTTGACTTTAGCAAAGCTTTTGACACGGTCTCCCACAGTATTCTTGTCAGCAAGTTAAAGAAGTATGGGCTGGATGAATGTACTATAAGGTGGGTAGAAAGTTGGCTAGATTTTTGGGGTCAATGGGTAGTGATCAATGGCTCCATGTCTAGTTGGCAGCCGGTGTCAAGTGGAGTGCCCCAGGGGTCAGTCCTGGGGCCGGTTTTGTTCAATATCTTCATAAACAATCTGGAGGATGGTGTGGATTGCACTCTCAGCAAATTTGCGGATGATACTAAACTGGGAGGAGTGGTAGATACGCTGAAGGGCAGGGATAGGATACAGAGGGACCTAGACAAATTGGAGGATTGGGCCAAAAGAAATCTGAGGTTCAATAAGGATAAGTGCAGGGTCCTGCACTTAGGATGGAAGAACCCAATGCACAGCTACAGACTAGGGACCGAATGGCTAGGCAGCTTTTCTGCAGAAAAGGACCTAGGGGTGACAGTGGACGAGAAGCTGGATGTGAGTCAGCAGTGTGCCCTTGTTGCCAAGAAGGCCAATGGCATTTTGGAATGTATAAGTAGGGGCATAGCGAGCAGATCCCCCCTCTATTTGACATTGGTGAGGCCTCATCTGGAGTACTGTGTCCAGTTTTGGGCCCCACACTACAAGAAGGATGTGGATAAATTGGAGAGAGTCCAGCGAAGGGCAACAAAAATGATTAGGGGTCTGGAACACATGACTTATGAGGAGAGGCTGAGGGAACTGGGATTGTTTAGTCTGCAGAAGAGAAGAATGAGGGGGGATTTGATAGCTGCTTTCAACTACCTGAGAGGTAGTTCCAGAGAGGATGGTTCTAGACTATTCTCAATGGTGGAAGAGGACAGGACAAGGAGTAATGGTCTCAAGTTGCAGTGGGGGAGGTTTAGGTTGGATATTAGGAAAAACTTTTTCACTAGGAGGGTGGTGAAACACTGGAATGCGTTGCCTAGGGAGGTGGTGGAATCTCCTTCCTTAGAAGTTTTTAAGGTCAGGCTTGACAAAGCCCTGGCTGGGATGATTTAATTTGGTATGGGTCCTGCTTTTGAGCAGGGGGTTGGACTAGCTGACCTCCTGAGGTCCCTTCCAACCCTGATATTCTATGATTCCCCCCCCCCCCCCGCCCCAACTGCTGGCCTTGCAAACTCAGCCTGGAACCTGAATGTCAAGTTGGAAACTTTCTGGTTTATACACCATCATCCATACAGAGTCAGCGATGAGAACTCAGTTAACAAGACAGTGCTAATGTGTGAGCCAGAATAAAATCCAATTCCCTCTCCCATTGGTATGTTGGTTCTCAAAGTTAATAGGAATAAATATCAGTAACACTTATGTTAGTCACTAAAGTCATCAGATATAGAGCCAGTCTGCAGAGTATTAAGGCACCATGTTATTCAGAGAAAAACAGACCCTTAAAATGCCTTTCTAACCCACAGAACCAATACCTCCTAATCCAGTCATTCCCCATTCAGCCAACATCTGCTGATAACTAGTAGAAGAGAACATTTGGAACATACCATGCAAGTCAGTAAAATCTCCTTCTGTCAGACTAATGGGGAAATACTTTGTAGAGTTGAAGGCCCTCTTTTGAAATTGACCTGCCCCCATTCACTAACAAAATATCTAGGACTGGTCAACTCAAAATCCCAGTTAAAACCAAGTGCCAGGCTAAAATATGAGGACAGGGGCAGTCACTTAAGGCTGATGGCTTGGTTAACCCTGCTCAGTCTACTAGTCTGAACAGCAACCATGTAGCACAAACATCTTGTGCCCAAGTCCCCAGCCAGCCCATGTCAAGTGCAGAAGGGGAAAAGATGCCTCTAAAATGTACATTGCACATAAGTATCCCAGTAGGCAGTGCAGAAAGAAGGCTATGGAAAGTCAGGGACCTGGTGAAAAAACTGTATCATGCCAATCTGAAAATGACAGTGAGAAACAACCACAACTATGGGGTGGGGTGGAACATTGGAAACCACTGCAGTGGCATCTGTTGATATTGGGACTGTCTGATAATCTGCTATAAGATTCATCCTGTCCATAGGGTAGAGAGGCTAAAGCCAGCTGCCCACTATTCCTGGGAGTTCATTGTTCAGGTACACAGGGTGTCTACAGACACAGCACAATCAGTGCCGGCATGTCTGTGCATGTGTGTAACCCACATGCTGATATGCCATTCTTATGTGCACTTGAATGTCTCTAGCTCTGGTGCATCCTGACCTACTCCCCTGAATAGGACCACCACAATACACAGCTGTTGAAAATGCCCCCCATCCCAAATACCTAGCTTTCAACATGCTCAGAATGGGCTACATGGCAAACTGAACATGTAGGGTAGCTTGAACTTGTGCTTTTCCATCTCCTTGTACGTGTTTGTTCTTCCTCTGCCTAGGCCTCCATTTTTGCTGGAGATGCCTTCTCTTTGGATTTGGTGTCCTACTTCTGTACCCAAGGCCAGTTCATCTCCTGTTTAGAGAGGGAGAGCCTCACAGCTCTCTGTCATGCTGACTGCATCTTTTCCAGCACAAGGTATAATGCGTGCCATTTCACTTCCATGTACACACACATCAATGCATCACACCATGGTGTGAATTTGAGGGACTTCTGAGGAGTAAGTTTGCAGGAGGGTTCACCAAAATTCTAAAGCTATCACTTGTATCAGGGAAATGCCACTGTTTAGATCCATCTTCCACAAAAAAATGGTGGTTTCTCACTGCTCTAAATGATTCCCGTCCTCAGTGCAGAAGCAGGAAACTGAGGTTGGACAATAATGGAGAAAATTCATGTGAAGAAATTCATCACACGTCGTTTCTTTATTGGTGTTACTTTTGTATTCCTCATTAGTAGTAGCAGTATTCTAGTGTATAGGAGCCTCAATCATGGACCAGGAGCCAAGTGTGCACAGCACTGTACAAAAACAGAACAAAGACCTACCCCAAAGACCTTACAGTCTAGGACTCTTTGTCCCCATGGTAGGTGCTTTTGTCCCATACTAAGGTCTCAGCAAGAAAAGGAGAAAAGTCAGTACTTGTACAAGTGCTTCCCAAATTCTTTGACCAGATAATGTTTTACTAGACTGGGGATTAGTTGTTGAACACCAGGTGCTGCCTGGTGCCCCCTTGCATTTGTACATGCTTTCACCTGTAATGTCACTTGAGCTATGCCAGTCTCACGCACAATTAGAATGAAGGCAGCTAATGGTTGGGAACATAGAGGGTCATCATTAGTGTCGAAAGAGGGAGCTAGGAGTCACAACAAGGATAACTCAATACATTGTGCCCAATGTTCTTTGCCCCATTCAGATTGGCCATCCGAAACACAAGTAGTTCAACTTACATCTTTTTGGCCACCTAGCCAGCAAGCAGCCAGATTTCTCAGGCAATCACCCACAGAGGTTTCATAAAAAGAGCAAGTATTATCCAGCATTGTTCTCCAGCAATAATTACAATACACATTCTGTTCTGTTAACAGCTCATTTACTTGCCATTGTTTTCACGTCAATTCCTGACTCACTCACCACCAATAATTTCCACTCTTGTATACTGTGCTGTCTGAGCACTGGGGATACCACTTGCTGGACAACCTTTAGATCATGTTGTCATGTCAACAGTTGTTGATCTTGGTCTTTTATTGGTTCATTTGGCAGCTGAAAGGGGAAGTCATTGGTGTTTTACAACATGAGGGTTGTTCCCAGGTTGGCTGCTAATAGGGTTGCCTTGCTGTTCTTTGAAAGGTGTTCGCTAAATGGAAAGCATCCCTCTGACACTGGGCAGAGCACCAGTAGCAACACAAGGGGTGGTAGCAAAGCATTGTGTCTGTCTCCAGTCAGGGAGATGAACCAGAGTTACCTGCCATACCTATGATACCAGAACCCATAAGCAAAGGCTGTGGCCAACTTTGTCTTCTGGAAGTTTCCTTTCATTTCTCTTTGAAAATAGTAAATTTGAACTTTCCCTCTTGGAGTGGACGAGTGAACGTGGATTCCACCGGAGGTATATACGTGGCACGGAAATACACACACACACACACACACCGTCAAAGGGGGAAAATGACATTTCAAAGGAGTGTTCTGGATCTTCTTGTGTTGCAGTCAGTTGACTTACAGCTGTTCACATCTATTAGGGTATATCTACACTGCAGTTGGAGGCATAGTCGCAGCATGTGTAGCCCTACCTCACCTACCTTCAATTTAGCTAGCTCGGGTAGTGCTGGTAGTGAAGCAGTGGCACCAAGGACTTCAGCATGGACTAGCCACCCAGGTAATTACACAGAGTCCCAGGCAGGCTTGTACAGCATGAGCTGAAGCCCGTGCTGCTGCAGGTTCGCTGCTGTTGTTGCCTATGCTAGCTAGATTACAGCTATCTTGGGTATATCTACACATGTTGCAATCACACACCCCAATTACAGTGTATGCATAACCTCAGCGACAGGCAGCCCTGTGTGCCGAGACAGCAGCGCTGGGTTATCTTGGCAATGCAGCAAGCACCTCGCTTGCCATAGCTGCTATTATTATGATGTATTATTTGTATTACCGTAGCACTTATGAGCCCCAGTCAAGGACCAGGACTCGGTTGTGCTAGGTTTTGCACAAATACAGGACAAAAAGACAGGCCCTCCTCAGAAAGTTTAAAATCTACGTATAAGACAAGACACAACAGATGGATGTGGACAGATGAGGAATACAAGGAAATAATGAGATAATATTGGTCAGTACAATAGCAGCCTACGTGATGTCAAGTTTTTGGTAGGCATCATGGCTATTCAATCCTAATTATTTATTTTGTCCTATGTAGGGTCTGACATCCTGCTTAATACCATGGTATGTGAGTAATGCACCCAGGGGACCACTTGCATCTAAGGTCTTGTTTACATGGAGCAGTAATGTGGACTATGGAAGTGTGATTTCTAAAGCACACTAACATTTTGCACATTAATTAGTCCGTGTACCCTGCTTGTGTGCATTAAAGCTTCCCTAGCGATTTTTGAAACAGTACTATGTTAAAGTGCACTAGGGAACGTTACAAAGAGATTACTCATTACAGTATAGATTACCGTAATAAGTAACGTATATAATATATTACTCATTACAGTATATACAAAGAGCCCCTAAAATCCCAATTTTGGACATGTACATAAAAAAATTGCTAAAAATAAAGAAAAATGAAATTAATAACGCCCCTAACCAGAAGCTCCACCCATAAGCTCAAAAATTTACATACAACAAATCTATTAATCAAACAGTTCTGAACAACAACCCCATTTGTCAGTTTGTGGAGTTGGATCCATCAGTTTAAGACAGCTTTGCACAGCAAGGCTGGTGCAAAGTAACCGTACAGAACTCAGAATGGGGCCCCGAGTTCTAAATTTAATGGACACTATCCAGAATATATATTATTTGATTATCAGAATTTTCACTTCAATCTCAACTCAAAAATCGCAAAGTCTCAGTTCTGATTCACATTCCCCAACTGGTGTGAGCTGTGGCATTTCCATCTATATTAAGGCGAGGGCATAACTAACAGTACACATCTAAGTGCTAAAAACAAGATGAAAATCAGAAAGCTTGGCACAGTAGCCCAAAACAGAACAAGCAGAATGCAGAGAAAGGCCTTTAGACAGTCACAGCAGCAAACAGTATTTCATTTGAATTTACCTGAGAGAATTGGAACAAAGCTTGAAAACTGAGACAGCCATATTTTCTTGTTAAACAATGAAAGTGGGACAAGTGAGCAGAAAGAACATTTCCCTGCTCTGACATCTAGTCTCCTTTCCATTAAGCCCAACCTAATACTGCACGAGTGCAGTGCCTTTTAACCCTTCTGATTCCATGGCAGATATTTTATTCCAGTAGAGTTCTTAGCCTAATTTCTTTACCATCTTTGGTGCTACACCTTTGATCCTCGGGTCATACATTGAAATATCATCCTGACACTCATTGAACTCTAATGGATGCACCTCAAATTGGTGACCCTGGATCTACAAACACAGACAATGTTCCCTCAAAGTCCTTTTCTTGGCTGCTAAACGAATGAGTGACTGAGGACAGGTTAAAACCTCTGGTCCTGATCCAGCAAAGCACTTAAGCACATGCTTAAGCAGGTGCTTAAGTGCTTTGCTGGACTGAGGCCTATGAGCACAGTCTTAAACTTGTGGTCAGACAGCTTTTTGCTCTGCATACAGACAGGGGATGGGAGAAAGAGGTGAAAAAGGAAGGGAAGGAAACAGAGAAAGGAAGGGAACGAAAAAAGAGAGAGGGCTGTGAAGACGGGAAGGAGTGTGAGAAAGATAAATGGAGGGAAAGTGGAAAGGAGAGAGAATGGAATAATCAGGAGAAAGAGGGGAGGGAAAAAAGGGGAGGAGAGCACAGGAACTCCCCTTTCCCCTGTCTGGATGGGAGAATCAGACCTCCTCACATTCAGCAGTGTGGTAGAAGGGAAGCCACTTCTTCCAGGTACAGTCAGTAGCAAGGACAAGGGGAGCCCAGGCAGAGTGCCCTCCTCCAGCCTGGAGGGGCAATCTTAGTTGCAGGGGAGTTCCAGAGCCCACTCCCCCTGTGGCCAGGCAAAGAAGTGTCAGCTGCCACTGTGGAAGGGGATCGCTGTTACCTCCAATGTTCTCCATGCTAGCAGTTTAGAGGGAAGAGCAAACACAGTCTTTGAGAGGTAGAGAGCATAGGCGCAAATGCTGTGGGTGCTCCTGGGCACCGACTGGCACCAGCAGAAGTTGGTGCCTATGGTAGGGGAGCTATTATCAACAAATCCACAGCAAGAGAGCCAAACAACCATCCAAGTCAACAGAATTGCACCAGTTTATGCCAGCAGCGAATTGGCTCAAAGGGTGTGAAGTGAGGAGAGCTGAGGGGCAGAAATAATTTGAAAATCATCTCAAAACACAGTGCTGACCACTTATTCCTAGATTAGAAAGCCAGAACGGACCACTGTAATCATCTAGTCTGACCTACTGTATATTACAGTCTGTAGGTCTTCCCTGAATTAATTCCTGTTTCAACTAGACCAGATCTTTTAAAAAACATCCAATAAATGAAAAAAAATTCCAGTGAGGGAGAATCCACCACAACCCTTGGCAAATTGTTCCAGTGACTAATTACTCTCACAGTTAAAAATTTACACCTTATTTCCATTCTGAATTTATCTAGCTTCAACTTCCCGCCATTAGATCTTGCTTTACCTTTGTCTGTTAGATTGAAGGGCCCATTATCAAATATTTGTTGGCCTTGTAGGTACTTACCAATTTTTAGAGGCCTCCACATTAGACACAAATAAAAGAGCTGAATAAACATTTGCACAAGCTGCCCTCTGGGACATAGAAGTGGTTTGTGACACTCTAACCCTTTCATCAGCCCTGTGTTAAACTGTAATCCTTTGATCGGCTCTGTGTTGAAAATGACATTCAAACTGTAACTATAGGGGGAGGCTGCCAGAAAAGGAATACCATAGGGCCCTGCAAAATTATAATACAGAAATCAATACAAATGGGGAACATTTTTAAGGCTAGCTTGCTACAATAGG